AACAAAATAATTATGAGCACTCCGAGTCAAGTTCAACCGGTGTGAAATCCCGATAACTTCCGTCTCAAGATCTCGGTGCAACGATCGATGCGACGAACGAGTCTCATCGCGATACTCTCTCGCGGAACGTTGCGGATTGCGGTCGTTCAATCAGCAGAAGTTGGGATTTTCGGCAGGTCAATCGGTCCGGGAGGAGCTCTCGTAGCGGCGTAGCTCGGCGGAAAAAAGGTTCGTTCGAAAGATCGGGCACCGCTTTTATCCGAAACTTCTATGCAAAACTTCGTGCTCGTTAAAGTCTGCTTAGTCGGAGTTCTCGGGGGAGTTCGCCGGCTAGATAGAAGAGGAATTAAAGGTCCACGGGGATGACTTTCCCGGCGAGTTCGTGTTCCTCGATCCTTCGATCGGGCAGAGCCGGATGAACGAGGTGAAATGTATTCCGTGATATTCTCGGTCGTGCAGAGTGCGCAGACTGATTTTACTCCTATTTTCGCGTCTATATTAACCTATTAACCGGATCGGATCGTCCCTTAAATAGGATTTTCCATGATCGCAGCGTTACAGATTTCAGTGGAGACGAATTGAAACGTCACTTAAGATAATTTTCACGTTGATCGGTCTTTCGCGCGAACGACTAATGGGACAGAGAACGTAGATAGAAATATTTATTTGTCACGAGTATGCACATTTTCGTACGCCGAATTTGCTCGCGAACGTGTAAACATCAGCAATCTAATCGATTATGAGCGATGAATCATTATAACGAGCGAGAATAAAAATCGCGTCGATCCGTTCTCATGCAAATTCTGCAGGTTTTGAAAATTCGACACAATTGCATTATATGATATTTTATTACATTCAGCGTGCTTGCGCTTTTTGCCCGTGAGTTTTCAGCCCTGTACGTTTCAAGCTCATTAGCATACATGTTTTTTTAATTGCTTTGCTCGAGGGAAGGAGCGTCCCTTGGCAGAACAAAACAACAGAGATCGCCTGAACAAATAATAATCATCGTTTCGAAATTCATTACGCGGTATTATTATTCGCCGAATAATAGATAATGCCTGTATTTTACGAAGAGGTTAAAGTTTCACGTTGCATCTGGATTTAATGTGCCCCACGTATCTCTTTTCAGTAGACTTTAATTTTTTTTTTTTTTTATTTCGTTGCTTTCCTCGGCTTCAAAACACGTAGAAGAACATTCTGACATGAATCGCGATGAATTAGAAGACTGGGACTCTTTTTTAAATAACGGGGAGAAGGAGAAAAAAAAAATTTTTCGCTGAAACAACGCATACCGAATGAAACAGGAGAGGAGTGTTTAATTAAGAGAGAGAGAGATATTTTCCACGTTCAATTTCTATGCGTCAAATGTACGTTCGTTAATGCGAACAAACAGTCCAATCCCAAGGAGAACGTGTAACGGTTTTGACAAAAATATCGCGCAACACATTGTGCGCGTGTGTTTCTTTTTTCTTTCTTCCATCGATAATGTTGAAATATAAAAGCGTGTAATGTAGGTCGTAATCCTTTTTATATGCACGACTTTCTGTTCCC